GAACTTTATTTTTGACTGGAGAGCCTCTTTCTTTTTGTTGATGATCTCAAGATTGACAATGGGCATGGCTAACAGCAGAACACCTCTCTTGTGTGCAGGAAGCTCTCTCTCCAGGGTCTCCTGTAACAGATCGAAGTCATACAGGTGGAGTTGGCGGCTGGACACCAGGAAGACTTGTGGAGACCGCATACCTTGATTTTCAAGACCTGCATCACAAAGAGAACAGACGAGTTAATTCCAGACAATGAAATTGGAACAGAGTACAGAAAAGCCCCAGCAACCCTCTGCAGGTCAGACACAAAGACAGGCAGGTTGTGTCAGATCTGAGAGGATGATGGATCACACCAACAGACCCTCAGTGAGCTCAGCCAGTATTCATATGACTCATGTTATGACCTGTTAACATTGATAGCTCTTCTTCTCCTCAACTTATGCTGCACATGTGGAAAGTTATTGTTGTCCCCTTAAATTGAAGCAGTGTCTTATTATGACCCTTATTGCATAAGCCTTTAAGTTTAGGCATTTCTAATGTTCTGAATTTCTGAATTAAGACTTACCTTGGACACAATCTACCCGGATCTTTGCGAGAGTCTTTTCTTCATTGAAATCGGGCTGAGTGTCTTCCTCGTCCCGCATGCTATGGTCCATCTTTGAGCGAACAAAGTAGAACTTTTTCTCCATCCTCTGGATCTCCTTAGCAAGTTTCACATCATTTTCTCTGAAGCGATCAGCTGAGATGATGATGAAGAAGTCAAATCTTTCAAAGCCAACATGCTCCAGGTACTTGGCAGCTGGAAAATTGGTGGTGCCAATACCAGGAAGATCCCACAGTGTAACATTGGGAAAGTTTGGATGGGGGTATGGTTTGACCTCCTTGGTGGTTTCTACACTACCAGTAGGGGCTGCTGCAGCACTCTGATCCTTCTTGTCTAAGCCTCTAAAGGCGTTAACAAAGGTGGATTTACCAGAGCCAGTCTCTCCTGTGATGGCGATGTTTAGTGGAATTGTATCCCACTCTTTCAAATAAGCATTAATCTTTTCAGCTGCTGCGGCAGCTCCATTGGTTTGCAGCTCTTCTTTAAATGGCTCTATGTGTTCCCATTCCCATTCTGTGTCAGGTGGATCATCCATAGTCTTAAAATATAAGAAAAACATTGCACTTTTGTGATTTGGGGAATTGCACCATAGGTAGACCTACATCTAATCATACAAATAATATATGACATAAATACAAAGCACATACAAAGTGGGGAGATTGCAGGTCTACCTATTTTGCAAACAATTCTAAATTAGTTCATCTAAACTATTAACCTACATCTGGCTTTATACCGAAAGTGCCATGGTTAACTCATTACATAAAACGAGTTGCTACATGTAGGACAATGCTGCATGGCACTAGCACTGGAAAGTCATAATTATTGACTGAATATTAAAGGTGAAACTTTAATAACAACAATAATACAATGGATTGTAATGAAGAATAACAAAATAGACATCCTTACCGTATGATGCACTTGGAACGTTGCTTCTTGTTCAGAAAGTTGAGTTTCTCTTTCTGTTGTACGTCCCAGATTGTAATGAGTTGAGCTCCTCGCTGTGAGCGTCAGAGAATCTGAACCAATCAGTGTTGTTTATTTGTGTGCCCTTTTAATAATAGCATCTGTTTCCGAAGAAATGCTGAGCTGAGGGGTGTGTTTATTATAGAGCTGCACCCTTTCATTTCTGCACGTTCACTTTGGATGTTTGTTAGAAAACCAGTTTGGTCATGCCACCAACTCACTCCACTGCTCTCCCTGTCCTTGATCACTGTCTCCAAGTTGTTTTCAGGGATACTCTAAATGAGCAAATGAGCTGGATCAGTAAAGACATATTTAACACTGGACAGCTAGACTTTTTCACTGCCCGTCATTTTGACAGACAGGATCGTACAATTTCCGTCAAAATTCAGTATTACCCGTCGGCCTTTACACTCTGGGGGGGGGGAGAGGTGGGGGGG